AGGAGAAACGTGCGATACCTTTCGCACCTCCCCCAAAAACGCACTCTCTTAGTAGAGAGTATGGATTAATGAGATTTGTCGTCTCACCACTTAAGATGACGTTTTCCGAGGATTTGTCGTTTTCTAAATTCGGAGGAGGAGGAGGAGAAACGTGCGATACCTTTCGCACCTCCCCCAAAAACGCACTCTCTTAGTAGAGAGTATGGATTAATGAGATTTGTCGTCTCACCACTTAAGATGACGTTTTCCGAGGATTTGTCGTTTTCTAAATTCTTATGTTTATTTTGAGATATCGTTGTCGTTTATTCTGATATTTGTCGTGTCTCAATGTTCGCCTGTGTTTTTCTCGTTTTGGGGTTGATTAATTCGTATTTTCCAGCTTGCTGATTGTTTCTAGTTGCTTGTTTTTCCCAAGACGCAATCTTAATGCACGCCAGACCCACTTCAACATATTATTAAATTTTGTGTTGTAAGTATAATATTGGCATTTTCTTTTTGACCAACAGAAAAGTTTGAAAACCAAGCTGTTAAGACGAAGACGCAAGTTTTGATTGGCCACCTCAAGCCGACCCACCGTGATCTGAGACCAGATCCGAGAAGCCCAAGGGTCGAGTCTCAAAAGCCCCCTCACTACGCCGCCTGATTCGCCACCGATCGGCCGGAATTTCAGTTTGAAATTTCCGTCCACCACAACTTCCAACGCAGATTCCGGCGCCATCCAATTTCTAATCCTCCGACAAGTGGTGTCTTTAGACTCCTCTAGTCGAGCTGAACAAATCCATACCAAGTTTGCGGTCATTAGTCGCCGGAATAGTTCCGACCATCTCCGGTAAGATTTCCGGCAACTTTGACTTTTTCCGGCGATCGGAGCGTCGTATGAGGAAACCGGAAGCGGGAACGAGTTTGTCTCGTCGAGAGCTTCGACATAGTATATCGGGCCTTCAGGTTCGACTTCCGACACGTCGGTTAACCGGTTAATAGCGGACTCGTTCGTGATATCGGATTTCTAAAACGAGACTCCGAGAGCCAAGCAATAATTCAAAGTTTTGAATTCAGAACTATCGGTTCCGTTTCTGCGAACCAAAGAAGAAAGTAATTCGATTCCGAGAATTTATCGACTTTTGAGTATAATTACGCCTTCAATTTTATGCATTATGTTTAGTGAGCAATTGCGTTTATGATTTCAAGTTTGTGAATATGTTAATCACATATAAGTCATGTTTCAGAAATTAGTTAGAAATTATAGAAATTAATTCCTCGTAAAATTTGATACGGAATTAATTTATGACCTTGGCTCGGAATGTGAGCATCGCCACGTGTATAGCTCCGAAGTAATTTGAATGCCATAATTGGAGTTTATGCTATTTTGTTTATTAAGGATTGGAATCAATCAAAAAAAAAAAAAAATGAAATGGATTTAGAGCTTAGATTGAAATGCCGACAAGAATAAATTACCGAAGGAGACGAATTGAGAGAAAAATTGCACAAGTAGGTATGCCACCCGTTCAAATTATTGATGTAAAAAGAATTGATGTACAAGGTGTTTTGAATGATAAAATATCATGATATGTAAAAGTTAGGGAAATAGTAGGAAGTAGGCCAATATGAAAAGTTTAAGAAAGTATATAGGCTAACTTTTAGTTATAGAAATTAATAAGCCATAATTTATCAAGTTATGTTCATAACTATATAAGTTATGGATAAACTTGTTAAGTTATGGTTTATAACCAGATAAGTTATGGATAAAAATAATGAATAACTTATCAAGTTATAGTTCATAATCAGACAAGTTATGGACGAAAACAGTAATTTGACCTATTTATTAACTTATGTAAACTATTGGTCTATTAATTTTAATTCATCTCAAATCTTGGTCTATTTCCCTCTTTCTCCCTAAAAGTTATAGCATTATGTGCTTAAGGTGTGATGTTTATGTAAATTCCAATTGCGTGATTCATGGTATGAAAAGAATACGATTAAATACGATTTTTTATGTTAGTGAAGAGGTTAATTACTTTAGCTAGATAATTAATTCTCTTAATGAGGTTCTTAATTAATTTTCCATATTACGGGGAGATTAATTGATTTGTAGTTATTTAGTTTATTTATTACAATGAGATTATTTTAGTACTTTTCCCAATATTAATTATTAGAATTTAATTTCTAGTCCAAGTGGGTAATTAATCAGTTAAATCAATTAATTATCAATAAGCGTTTTGTTATCTCTAATCACAAATGAATTAATTGATGAAAGTTAATTAATTTTAAGAAAAAAAATTTTAGCAATTAATTAAGTCCATTACGAAATACAGCCTATTATTCCCTTTTTTAAGTTAAGGAACTTAGAACAACCTCACCTACAGCATGAAGTAAAATATTTTCAGCTAAAGTTTTGAAAACATGTTTTAAATCATATATGTTTTACATGTTATATGTTATGTGTACTTTATGAAGTATGATTTCATGTATGATGAATAACTCATGCATTCTAATTGCCTGTTGTTTTCAGTTATTATTGCAGCTTTCAGTTATGCTTGCAGTTTTCAGTTTGTGTTCATGCTTTACCAGGTTTATTTATTTAAGCATGACACTTGCATCCTCACTTAATAAAGTGAAACCTCAGATCAATTAATTAGAAAGTGTTGTACCAACGTCTCGACGGGAGAGGTTTATGTTTAGTTAAAAAATTTTAGATTAGTATACTTAGGAACCTTACAAATCTTAACTTCTTGATGATCGCGCGCAACTGGTACGTAACCACGGTAACAGAAATAGCGAGATATACGCAGGAAACAGATTTTATAAACAACATAATCTGTTCATGACATATTTTCTTAAATGTTTTGTGAGGTAAACTATCTAAGACTAAAAGAATAAGTACGAGAGACTGGCAAACGACGTGGTGCTTGCAGAGGAGTGGATTATGGATACCGCCATGACAGTTAATTCCGCATACAAGTATATTGTTTTTAACAATTTAATTTAAGATATGTGATGTATGTTTTCAGCTAAGGCTTAACATGTTTATGATTCCAGTATTATAGTTTCGGTCATACTATATGTATACATATCTTATAGAAATCTACGTATGTTGATTCAAGCACATATACAAGTTATGATTTCTAAAATGCATTTAAAGGATGACATCTTTCAGAAGTTATTAAGTTTTGTGCCTTAGACCTTTAAAATCTATTATATTTCAAATGAATATTTTATTAGAAGAATGTCAGAAATGTAATTTGCTATAAGTATCATAACTAATTGTCTGAATATAGTTAAACCATTTTATGTTACTAACTGGAGTTGTTTAAGTTGCTATCTTAGAAAAGATATAACAATAATATTCTACAAATTTAGACTTTCTAGTTAAATAAATGTTTTAGTATATAAATATGAATCAGTTACATAAGTAACGTCTCGATTGGTAGTTGAGTCGTTACGATGGAATTTAAATATGGTTTCTCACGTGTAGTTTATAAAATTTTATTTTATAAAATCTATGAGAGTAGAGGCAAGGAAGATTTTGAAATTAAAATAGTTTAAAAAAATCTCTAAATTTTTTAGCATTCAAGAAAATGTTTTAGAATAAAGAAATCAAGTTTAAGCATAATAAGTAGCGGTCTAAAAAGTTAGGTCGTTACAGGATCATAAAAAATGAACAACCGGTAGTTCTCTATTTTCAATCATCAAAAACTGTTAAATTTGTATACTTTTTAATTTGATGTGATTTTAACACGATCTAACGGTGAAAAACTGACACTACAAGTAAGACTAGCCTACAAGAAAAACTCTATATATATATATAAAAAAAAAAATCGAAAACAACAAATCCGATGCAAGATTACTGATATAGAAATAGCAGGTGACGTAAGAAACTCCGCTCACACTAACCAGTTGCCTACAAAAGCAAATATCTTCACTATGCAAGATTACTGATTTTTTATTATTTATTAAAAAATAAATGAATAAATAACCACATAGTGGCTGATCCATTCAGCCTGATTGACTTTGATTGTTCCAATTACATGTCGTTTTCATTTTCTCTCTTTCCTTTCTCAACCATCTCTTAGGAAATATCCCCATGAAAACCTTTGTTTTTTGTTGGTTTTTTTTTTTTTTTTTTTTTTTTTTTTCCCCTCTTCTTTGGAAAAATCCCCCTAAAAAACTTTTTTTTTTTTTTTTTTTTTTTTTTTTTTTTTTTTTTTCTCCCTCTCTCTCTTTCCTTTCCTTTTTTTTTTTTTTTTCTTTCTTTTTCTTTTTGGGTGGTGAAAGCAAAGGCGTCAGATGCTCACAATGACCCACCCCATTTACCTTTTCAAAAGTAAAAGAAGCACCAAGAAAAAATATAGGCGAATAATAGAGAATTCTCAATTCTGTAGTAAGATATACGAATGTCTGTTATTAGATCATCTGCAGCTTCCAACAAACTCCCCAGCTCACGGCCTATGTGTTGAAGGTACATCTTTAGGTAGTAGAAAAATCCCCAAAAAAGAAAAAGAATGATCCTAATTATTTCTCTTCTTTTTTTTTTTTGTTTTGTTTTGTTTTGTTTTTTTTTTTTTTTTTTTTTTTTTTTTTTTTTTTTTTTTGTTTGTTTTTGTTTTTGTTTTTTTTGTTTTTTTTTGTCTAAGGTGGTGAGAGATTTGAACATTATACTTATGTTGAGTGGGGTAGAGTTAGGAATGGAAAAGTAGAACTGAGAAGTAGTATAAAGCCTAATTTACATATACTCAAAGAGAAATGTAATTTTTCTTCTGATGAATATAGATAGGTAAGTGTGTTTTTAACTTTTTAGGATCAATAAAGTAATAGCTGACTCTAAGCAGTTAACTTTTTTTTTTTTTTTTAAATAAGTTAAAATACATTTTTCTGCCCTCCATGTACTTGGACTTGCACACCTAGGATCCATCAGAGCATGACTTGATTGTTTTTTTTTTTTTTCCCCTGAAAATTATTGCCACAACAGAGCAGGAAGCTCAGGAGAATCCTTATCGGTTATCGATTATTTGTTTAGGTTATTTTTTTCTTTCATGATGAAAATAATATACACTTAAAATTTTGTTCGGTACAGGAATTTTTTTTTTTATTTACAGAAAAATTGACTTTTAATAATCTGAATATGCATATGTGTGCATACAGAACAAATTAGGAAGTGGCTGCTTGATCATTGTGGACGGTAGGAGTGTGAACGATGGCCGCTGCTAGTTCTACTTCTCACAACACTTTGACCAAGATTAAGTATGATGTCATTATCAGTTTTAGAGGAGAGGACACTCGTTATAACTTTACAAGCCATCTTCATGATGCTTTAAATCGAGCGCAAATCAGAGCTTTCATAGATGAGGATGATGTCATGAAAGGATATGAAATACAACCTACACTTTTGAAAGCAATTGAAGAATCAAAGCTTTGTCTAATTATTTTCTCGAAAGATTATGTTTCTTCAACATGGTGCTTAGAAGAACTGGTGCACATTCTCGGATGCAAAAAGACAAACGAAGTTCTACCTGTTTTTTACAATGTAGATCCGACGGATGATTGGAAAGAACAACAAAGTTATGCATTTGCATTTACCAAACATGAAGAACGTTTTAAGGATAAGATGGAGAGAGTGCGTACATGGAGGAAGGCTTTAACGACAGTAGCGAATCTACACGGTTTGGCTTCATCGCGGATCAGGTAATCCTACTAATTCAAACTATAAAATGCATACACCCACAACTACTCTATTTAAAAGAATAATTTTTCCTAGCTATTTAGGCCTTTCTATTTAAAAATTCGTACCTTGTAACGCTCGCCATATAAAGACCTTACATGACATTCAACCGCAGTTCTCTTTTGTTTAATGTACATTGTTCTTGTTCAATGACAATCATCACCCAGTTAAATATGTATGTCAGGCGTGAGTCCGACCTAGTAAAGGTCATTGTTGAAGAAATAGTCAAGAAACTGTTACATACATTGCCTAGCCATGATTTGAAGGGCCATGTTGGAATTCATAAACATGTCCAGAAAATTGGGTCTTTATGCGTTGGATCATCAGATGTCCGCATCCTAGGCATATGGGGGATGGGCGGTATAGGCAAGACAACCCTTGCTCGTGCTTTACTCGGTTGGATCTCTTCTCAATTCGAAGCTTGCAGCTTTATTGAAAATGTTCGGGGGGAATCCGAGAAGAATAGAATGGCTCAATTAAGAAAAGAGCTTTTTGATGACTTGTTAGAGGGCAAGGATCTAGCAATAGGAAATCGCTTTGTAAAGGATAGGCTCCGTCATAAAAAGGTGCTTGTCGTTTTTGATGATGTGGACGATCCAGAGCAGTTGGAAAATTTAGGCAGTGATTGGTTGGGCCATGAAAGTAAAATGATCATAACAAGCAGAGATAAACAAGTTCTTAGGAACATTGGAGTTGATGAAACATACAAGCTTGAGGGACTAAATGATGTTGAAGCTCTCCAACTCTTTTCTCAGCATGCGTTTAAAAGGAACACTCTTACCACAGAAGAAAAACAGTTGTCGAAAAGAGTGATAAACTTTTCTGGAGGCAATCCATTGGCTCTTAAGGTTTTTGGCCGGCACCTTTATTCCAAAGGCATAAAAGAATGTGAAAGTACATTGGATAAGCTGCAAGAGTTTCCCGACAAAAAAATTCAGAATGCATTGAGAATAAGCTATGATTCACTACATAAAACAGAGAAAGATATATTTCTTGACATTGCATGTTTCTTTAAAGGGGAAAAACGGGGTTTTTTGGAAGGAATACTAGATGCTTGTGGTCGCTTTGCCACTGCGGGAATTGGAGTGCTCATTGATAAGGCTCTAATAACTATCTGCAAGGACTCGAACACGGTACAGATGCTTGATTTGCTACAAGTGATGGCTTTTGAGATTGTTCGCTCACAATCAAGTGATCAAGATCCTAGAAATGGTAGAAGGGTATGGCTTGCAGATGATATATATTGCATGTTCAAGTATAATAGAGTAAGTACAGAACGCATTCAAATTTCTTTGGAAAAGAGTTCGTAAACACTAATATTAGTTATTCGCAAGTTGTAAATATTCACCTATACTATGTTTTTTATTGTCAGGGAATTGCCGTAATTGAAGGAATATCCCTTGATACATCAAAGCTTGATGAAGAGATAATCTTGACGCCTAAAACCTTTTCAAAGATGCGCAGATTAAGATTGCTCATGATCAGTGGGAGAAAAGTATCTCTTCCTCTTGGTCCTCTGCCTTTTCCCGATTCACTTGTCTATCTCAAATGGCAAGCCTACCCTTTGAAATCGTTGTCAACAAATTTTACTGCAAAGAATCTTGTTGCACTCGATATGCGGTGTAGTCAACTTAAGCAACTTTGGAACGGTGTTCTGGTATGCTTCGTTTTTATTTATTTTTTATTTTTATTTTTTCTTAAACATTATTACTGTTAGGTGCCTCATGTCAAGTTTTTAACCAGGATATTTCTCTTTTATTGCAGCATTTAGCTAACTTAAAACATGTCAAACTTACGGGCTCCATGCTTCTAACTCAACTTCCAGATCTGTCACAGGCTCCAAATCTTGAGAGTATAGATCTTAACTTCTGTGAGAATTTGCTTGAGATTCCATCATCATTTCAATATATAAAAAATCTCGAGAAGCTTGAGTTAACAGGATGCTCATCTCTTCGCAAGATTTTAGGGCTTCCAAAAGATCTAGGCATGTTGAGAGTGTTCACCCCGTCATTCGAACGTCAAGACAGTAGGTTAGTTGATTGTCAAAATTGCGAAGGCCATGAAAGTGACTCAACTTGCAGAAGTTTTCAATATCGCAACTTTCCCTGTCATATACATAATCGAAAGAAACCTTCCTTTTTCATAAGTTCGAATGACATTTGTGAAATTTCTCATTTTAAAATTTGTTCAAAGATGGAAAGCTTTCCAGAAATCTTGGAGCCTATCGAGAGTCTAAAATTCCTTTGGTTAGAGTTTACGCCGATTAAAGTGCTACCCCAATCCATTAAGAATTTAATCAATCTTCAACATTTGCGCCTAGATTTTTGTTCAAATCTAGAGTCTCTTCCTAACAACATCCATCATTTAAGTGCTTTAAGAAAACTTGAAATTCGTCATTGCCCAAAACTTAAATCTTTACCGACACTTCCACTGTCTGTAACTCATCTCGATGCAAGCTACTGCATGTCGTTGAAGAAGGTGTCGAGTTCAAGTACTAATTTAGTAAAACAAAACTGGGATGATCTCTATTTGAGTGATTCCTGTGGGGAGCTTTTTGAATTTTACGGCTGCCAAATGTTAAATGCAACTGCACGCAGACTTATCATGGATGAAGCACATTTTAGAATTTTGCGTCTTGCAGTTTTACGCGCGAGACATAAAATTCTTGACGTATGTCTCTGGTCTCCTTACATGATTAGATTTCTATATTTAGTGATCTTGAAAGGATTACTAAAATGACCATGATTCTTATATTCGTGTTGTATACAGGTCGAGTGTCGGATTCGTTGGCCAGGAAGTGAAATTCCGAGGTGGTTCAATCATAAGAGTGAGGGATGTTCAATATGTATCAACTTTCCTAATCCAACAAATCAGCAGTATAAAAGCAACTATTTGGGTCTCGCCTTTTCCATTGTTGTTTATTTCGATGGGTTTCCAGACAATCCTTATGGTGACCGGAGTTGGAAGATTTGTTGTGATTCAGTTTACACGTTCCCTAACGGTGTTTCGGTGCCCCGAACAGTATATCTGGAGTGCAGTCCTTTTTTTAAATATTCTGCTTCGTGTTTCAATGGATGTTGTGGTCAAGTTGACTCTAGTTGTGAAGATGGTTGCATTATTGATCATGTCACAACTTCCGACCACGTTTGCGTGTTTTTCGATGAGCACTTAATTACAAATGGATCAGTTGCAAGCCTCACTACGGCCTCCTTTTCCTTCAGCACATCAAAAACACATCAAGCTTTGAAGGTTAAGAAATGCGGGGTCCATCTCCTGCTTACCGAAGAGGCAGAGAGATTCGGTTTCGTCGTACCGCATAGTCGGAACTGGAACTCCAAGTGAAAGGAGAGGATATGAGAACAATCATATCATGAGAGAAACTTTTCAGTTATCGTTGGTTTTTATTTTATTTTATTTTTTTATGGGAAGCATTTGGACAAATTTTGATTAGGTGTTTTATCTGAAGTCATTTTTCTTTTTGTGATCATTGCTAGTAATTTTTTTTTTTCCTCAATGTAGTTTAAAAATTTTATAGACTAAAGAAGTGCAAAAAGATTTTCCTAATCTGGCCTAGAAGCAGCCTAAAGCAAGAAGGAATATTTATCTGAATGCATTTAGGGATGAGCCATTTCTTTATCCAACTTTTGAAGGCCAATTTTTTAAATTTATCTCCCAAAAATTTAAGATTTTTCATTTTGCCACTTACCGTCTAAAATGAAAAAAAGATTACCTCAAAATTCATCATAAGTTGTTAGACAATCCGCAGCTACTTTTGTTGGTCGTTTCAAGTGATTTAGGGTGTTTTGGCAGTTTACTAGGATGGCCATTGACAGAGAAACGAGAACAAACGACAGCAAACACAGAAGAACCCTTCCCAAAACAGGGGAAACAGAACAATAAAATTTGAAAACAGAGAAGCTAACTCCAAACGACCGCAAACTTAATGAAACTACAACATTAGACAAACCCAAAACAGCCCGAACCAACGCAATTAAAATTTGATAAACATGATCTTGTTTCTCTAAGCTGTATTACCGACCAAGTTAATTAATTAGATTACATAATTTGGGACGTATACGTTGAAAGAAACTTCACATTACTAAATTATTGTTATTATTATTATTATTATTATTGGAGGAAAATCTTAAAAAGAAAAATTGTAGAAGAAACATTAATGAATTAACATGCATATTGCTGGAAAGTAGTGATGAACGTACATATAATTAATACCAAGAATGAAGCTAGCCACCGACTTGAGGAAGTAATGAAATTATTGTGTGCCTAAGATATTACTTTTATTATGTAAAAATGGGCATTTAGTATGCAGTAATCTTAAGGATGTGAATGAGAATCTGCAATATTATTATATTTGGTATAAGAATTATAATGATTACATTATGGATGACTATATGTATTATGATTACTTATGTCTATTTTATTACTAATTTGTTACTTGTATGGTTAAGCTTTATGTGAACTCCTTATTATGATGTATGGTGTGATATGACTTGCAATTTTATGATATGATATTTTATGATCAATTTTTCGTCTTTCAAATGTACTGAAAGCTACTGAGCTCTCTCTTACAGTGGTCAATGTGTCTTGGGAATTTAAGTTCATAATATCTTCAGCTTTGATGATTCTTTTGATCGTGTTTCTCTTGATGGGTTGGGTGTTGTTGGAGATTACAACTTTTTTTATTATGATTCTATCATCCATGTTAACACAGGTGGACTTTGAGATTTGCTGGCCAGGAAGTGAAATTTCGAGGTGGTTCCTTCATAAGAGCGAGGGATCTTCAATAAGTATCGGCCTTCCTCATCGAACATTCTGTGGTGTAACTGCAGCTACTTGGGTCTCACCTTTTCTGCTGTCCTTTATTTTGGAAATGTTGACTGGGACTCGAAAGTTTGTTGCGATGTTGTTTACACAAATCCTAACGGTATTGTGTTGCCAAAGACCGTGTGGCATGCAATCACGTTCGCCCATTTTATTGGTATTCTTATATTGAATGTTGCAGGCAAGTTGAACGTGAATGGCTCTTGTTTATGTCAAGAATTCCAAACATGTGTTTGTGTTTTTTGACACCTCCTTCGGTGAGTTCTATGGCATCTCTATAGATATTCTTTCTATTCGTGATGTTTCAAATGCCTTTGGCATATCAAAGTTAAGAAATGTGGCATCTAGGCGGAGGGACTTGGTTTAAAGATAGAGGACAGCAAAGATGATATTAATGAGGAGTTTGAATCAAGTGGAAGGGAAGCTTCTGGTTTCAAACCAAGAGGAAGATGGGGAACCCTAAGATATTTAGAAGTACTTTGTGCTCTGCTTCTAGACATAGAAATGGAAAAACATAATTAAGGCACGTATTAGTGAGTAAAGTCTTGTAAGTAAATGAAGTAAACTCACGTTTATTCCCTTGCTTGGTTTGGTTTATTTATTTCTTTGTTTGTTTTCTTTCTTCTGATTATTTCTAAATGGGAAATCTTTGGTTTCTGCATTACTGAAATAAGTTAATTTTTCCAATTTAATCCCACTGATTTTCATTGTCTCCTGAAGGCGTCAACTTTTTGCTATATTTTTTGCTTGATCGAATTTGAGATTGAAGCAACATTAAGTTGATCACGAAGTAAAAGCCACTTAGATCCTTTAATTCAGATCCACATACTAAAGTGTACATCTTTGGCACTTTGTTAAATATATATATATATATGTATATATGGAGACACATTTATACATGTGTATATGTATGTATGTATGTATGCATCTACTGCAATGTTGAACTCATGGGATCTCCACATGAACTTAATCTCCACCAAATTTCTATAAAATGTAAGGTCTTGGTAATCTATTTAGAGTTGAGTATCAACTAGTGTGTTAACTATCATGACATTCATTTCTCAATGAATCTTCGGAAGCTACCTTATTTATTCGTACTGTCTTCACTTTGCGGATTCTTTCGATTGGTAGCCTCTCACCGTGTGATGAGGAGATGGAAGTATTTTTTATTTTTTATTTTTTATTGTGATTTTGCTCCAGAGTAGCCTCTGCTGGCTATGTTTCAAAATTTTCAAGCAAATATATTTTCTATGTTTTTTTTGGGTTGTGGAAAAGGTGAGATTAATGAGTTAATTTGTGAGGGTGGCCATGGACAGAGAGAAAAAGAAGCAAAATAACAAAGCAAGGTTCAATTAGACAATAAAATGAGATTAGAGAGGAAAAACTTATCCATCACAAAGAACCAGTGAACCACTCGGAAACTCAATCTAACAGTTGAAACAACTACATATATAAGAAGAAACACCATAATGATTTCCTAAGTAGGTTCATCATCATTTCATGATTTTTTGTGCTGTTTTTTTTGCTTTTTTGTTTTTGTTCTTTCTTTTTTTTTGGTATCATTATTAGGAAAAACGACCGCAAACATGAAGAATTTAAAAAGCACAACAAAACACCAAGCGACAGCAAACACAACCCCCAACAAAAAACAGGGGAAATGGTGCAAAATAAAAGAGCGAACTCTAAACGACAGCAAACTTAATAAAACTACAACGCGACACAATCCAAAATCCAAATAACCCCTTACAAGACCAAGTGTTTTTTTGGTTTTTTTATCATAATCTTCTTTTTTTTAATAATTTTTTTTTTTTTTTTTTTTTTTTTTCTGATCTATCATTAATCTTTCTTTGGTTTATTTTTGCAACATGAGAAATTCGTTGATATGAGAAAAATTTGAATATCACCGACAGCCACGTGTGGGAAGGTGAGACAGCGTGCGTGGCGGCTGGAAATACGTGTGCAAATATAATTCTGTTCTTTTCGCTAATTCGAGTTTAGAATTCGAGTTTTGTTACAGTAAAAAGTTCTTAGAAACAGTCACATTTAATTTTTTTGCTACAATAAAAAGTTCTCACACAACATTACATCTCAACTCGAATTAAAAACTCGAATTAACGAACCGAACGAGTAGGACCCAAGGGGGGCATAATCGTCAAAACATAATTACCTCTCCTAGCTTGGAATTCAGACACGAACAAAGAAGATGTCGTTTTTAGACTGAAAAGTCCATGATGACAGCCCACGTCTTCAAGGGCTTGGAGACAAAGGTCCTTTTGACAGCACAGCACACAACAAAAATTATTTTTTAAATAAAAGATTTTTTTTTATACGTTAACTGTAATGACTGAGAAAATTCCAGACCTTAAATAATACAATTCATG